AGGAAGCCCCTGCCCCGGGCTTCCTGGAATCAGCCGCTGATCAGTTTCAGCAGCAGCTGAATCTGGACGCCAGTTCCGACTTACATACAGATTCAACTTAAGAACAAACCTACAGTCCCTATCTTGTACATAACGCGGGGACTGCCTGTACTCAGTATTCCAGATGTGGGTGTACCATGGATTTATATAAGGGCAATAAGATATTCTCCATCTTATTATCTATCCCTTTTTTAATGATTCCTAACATCCTGTTTTTTTGCCTGCTGCTGCACACTGCATGGACGTCTTCAGAGAACTATCCACAATGACTCCAAGATCTCTTTCCTGATTAGTTGTAGCTAAATTAGTGTGTGGGGACAGGCAACTGCCTCTTTTTGCACAAAAAAACCCCTATTGAAAAAAAGCACAGGACGCTCTCTTGTGCAAAAGTGCATCGCTTTTCTGATGTGCTTTTGCAGTGTGGACACACTCTTGCACAAGAAGTTTTTGAGGAAGATCTCTTCCACAAAAAGCTTCTTGCACAAAAAGCCTGCAATGTAAACATAGCCTGAGAGAATAGGAAAAACTTTTGAAGAGTAATGGTATCAAGAGCTTAATGCTAAGAACATGCCTTTAAAGATTAGTTTATGGAACGGCACCACATATCTCAGTCTATCTGTAAGTCACTCACTGGCCTAAGTGACTTATCTAAAAAGACTGCCTTATGCTCGGGAATGAAGACCCTTCTCGACACCTCTGCTCCTCAGGCAGAATGGAAGAGTTTACCACAAGGGTAAAGCTCATCTGGGCCTTCTTGGAGCTGTCCCAAACAATAAGACAATCTCCCCACCGCCGAACGAATGCCTATCATAAGCATTACCTTCTGCTGCCCCTAATGCAAAGTGCTTTTCTTCCAACTGCCCTCTCTAGCAAACACACAGCAATGAAAACAGGTTGAAAAATATATTGAAACAATCCCCTACGGAAACACAACAGCACACCAAGTTTTCCTTCATAGAGAGGATGAGAGCAAAAAATGAACATGCCTAGCAGATGTCAGTCACTAACTGTTGGAAGGTCTCAGACACTAGCGATGAGGATGGTATAAGAACCTCAATAAAACATCAAGTAGATTCATTAGGTTTTTGCCTTCATTTGTTGATGGCAAAAAACTATGAGAAAATTAAGTATGCAGGTTAAAAAAAGTATTCCTCCTGTGCTGAAACCCTGGAAGTTTAGCACTTCAGCACCTGCCAATTCTTCTCATTAGCACTAATAGGAAGTGTACAACAAGCTGAGAAGCACCAGTGTCACTTTTCATGCTGTTAAAGAGACTGTCTCTGTATCTTTTTCTTCTTGACTCATCACCATGGCATCTGAGCAGGATATCTCCACAGAACTCACTTCAGAACAGACTGGTCAGTGAGGGTTTGTTTTTGCTTACAAGAACCTTTTGAAAATTGCAAACATTCCCTCCCTCCTAACCTTCCTGGGAGGTTTACCAAAGCCTGCCATAGGGCCCAAAATTGAGGCAGTCAAGAGCCTCTGTGATGTTTCAATCCTGAAAGAAGTCACTGGACCAGTTTAAGCAGATTTACCTACATTATTATGAGCATTTCTTCATGTAAGAAAGAACTTCAAAGATACTGAATAATGCAAGTTCTCTTTTACCCATTCACACTATTTGATTGGAGGCCAGATAAAAGGAATGATTTGCTCTCTCACAAAGTGGGATGATCCAAGAAGTGGTGACAGCATCATCTCCACTTGAAAACTTGATCTGAACTAGGATTTCACCTTTTCTTTCTGATTTTTGAGAAAAGGTTAGTGACTAGGATAGGAGACAGAGAAGCAGGACTCCTCAGTTCCAGTCCCAAGCTCCACCACTGACTTCTTGTGTGATCTTTTCGAAGTCACTTCCCTACTCCATGCCTCCATTTCCTAACCTATGAAATGAGAACAGAACCTAACATCTCAGAGATGCAGTTTGAGTTTGTGAAATACTTTGAAATTTTCAGATAAATGTCACTAGAGAAATGCAAACCACAATAGAAACTGCCACCAGCTTGTAGCTTCCATGAGATGGAAGAGTTGAATACTTCACTAGTTGGTTAGATTGTTAAGTTTACTCATCCTAGATGATCACTGAATCATAAATAAATAATAAAATAAAAAATAAGGTCACCCACTTATAAATAGGGATATAAAATCCCATTTAGTTGGCTAACTGGTTTAAAAAAATGTTTAACCAGTTAACTGATTAAAGGGGAGATGAGGGGGAGCTGCTTCAGCCTAGCCAGAGCAATCCCCTCCTCTGTTAAGGGTGAGGCTTATAAGTTAAACATTCACATCCCCACACTAAGGATGTAAAGGGTGAACTGGTTACCTGGTAAGCACTGCCTTACTGGAATGCTTACTAGAGTAACTGGTTAACTGGCACCCAGCTGGGCTTCTCCAGTCCAGCCAGGCCCAGCACGCTGTTGTGTGGATCGGGGGACCTGCTCCAGCCCAGCCAGAACCACAGCCCCACAGGCCAGTTAATTGGTTAAACTATGGCTACGTCTACACTGGCCCCTTTTTTGGAAAGGGCATGCTAATTTTGAAAGTGGGAATAGGGAAATCCGCGGGGGATTTAAATATCCTCCGCGGATTTAAATAAACATGTCCGCTGCTTTTTTTCCAGCTTGGGGAAAAGCCGGAAAAAAAGCATCTAGACAGGCCTGATCCTCCGGAATAAAGCCCTATTCCAGAGGATCTCTTATTCCTACTTCAAAGGAAGTGTAGATGTAGCCTATATGTTTAACTGACTAACATTTAAAATGCTATTTTATGTTCTTATCATGTAGGGATTTTTGTTGTTAGAAGAAGGTTGTGGTGCAATGAAGCTGGAGAACCCCTGAGACAGGAATACCAGGGACAGGGCCCCACACGACACTCCCAGCTCATCCCATGCTCCTGCTTACTGAATGTCCCAGCAAGGGATGTGGCCAGATACAGAAATGCCTCTCCAGGTGAGGGAGCCCAGCTGCAGGCACTTGGCATACCAGGACTGTGCTCTACTCACACGCTGCGGGCACCTGCCCTGAACAGGGGCGAAGGAAGACGTCCAGCAGCACTCGAGGTGGGATGGAGGCTGAAAATTAGGGGAAGGCACAGAGACCCCCCCCCAACACCTCAACCCCCCCCAGCTACACCCAGGTCACACAG